AAAGGATCATGCTACTGGGAGGCTCTAATCTCTAATATATAATTTTGCTATTTCAGATGCTTTTCTGAGAAGTCTTACAGAGTTCGGGAAAAAAAGATTTTCCTGTAGGTTGCAAAGAAAATATTAGTGGAGACAGAGACCAGCAGTGCCTGAAAGGGAGCATAATTTAATGATAGACCCTAGGCCAATAGGAAGAGGCAAAGGTCATAGGCAAAAAATAATACAGATTGAATGTGAGATGGACTTTGATAATATAACACTTCAGTAAGTATGCTACAGTTGTGATTATGAAAAAGAAAAGACACCTTTTATTAGAAATCAAGTGCAGGAGTGCTAAAAACTGGATATTGATGTAAATACTACATGTGAAAGAATCATCTGGTATTATCTTGGAGAAACAGAGATTAAAGCTTATGATACGATTCTGTTTGAATGGTAAAATTTGAGTATTAACTCTTAAGCACTGGAGGATTCTAATACCTTTCCTTTTGAACTTCCTTCATTTTTACTCTTTTTATGTTCCTAGTTATCTATATTGCTGTCAACCCCACAGCCAATATCCCACCAGTCTGTGTTCCATTAAGAATAACTTTTAGTTACTTGCTAAATGTGATTGTGTGTGAAAGAGATGGCCTTTCTTCCTCCATGAGGCAGCAATGAGAACCCAATAATCCAGGAACCAATTACCAGATGGCCATACATCTTGCAGTTCATGATGAAACTACAGTGCAAAGGGTTAAATGACTACACATTTGTAATAAACCACCAGAGGTGAGAGGAAGCTTTCAGTAACTACCAAAATACAAAGGAAACAAAAGTTGTGTAGCAAATGGTGACAAGAAAATTATTCTCTTTAAACTCCAAACATTTCTCAGAAGTCTGAGAAGAGTGATTGACATATAACAGATATCCAAGAAGGCAAAGTTCCCATTGGGGGAAAATGCATGGTGCTATGAAGAGCTCGATCATATTTATTGAGGACAGTGATGAAAACATTTACCAATAGAGTAATCATGTAGGAAACTAAGGAAATTCCAAACAGATACTCTTGGAGGTTAAAAAGGTCAGAAAATTTCAGAACAATAAACTCTCCTTCATCTGTGTGGTTTGCTTCTGACATTGTTTCTATTTATTATATAAATGTTAACTTCAGAAAAGGAAATCATTTCAGATATCTGAGTCAGTTTCCTTTTCTGTAAAACATGGTATTTGGGGGCAGCTAGGTTGTGCACAGGATGGAGCACTGGCCCTGGATTCAGGAGAAATTGAGTTCAAATCTGGCCTCAGACACATAATACTTACTAGCTGTGTGACCTTGGACAAGTCACTTAACCCCATTGCCTGGCCCTTCCCCCCCCAGAAAAAACCCAAAACTTGATCTATTTGTATAAGACAATCAGTAATGTTCCTCCTATATCCAAAATTCTATGTTTTAATTTCCCTCCTCTAAAGCAGTGGTCTACAGACTGCTTTGAGTTTATATATATATATATATCTATATATATCTATATATATATATGTATATATACATACACACATATGTATATACACACACACACACACACATACATATATATGTAGATATGTGTGTGTATACATATATATGTATGTATATATGCATCAGTTTAAACAAAAATAAACCTCAAATATATGAGTATGTTTCCCAATGTACTAATATGTTATAAAAAAAGTTATAAACTTTCAAAGACAAGATCAAGGCAAAATAATCTTTTATTGTTGAGTAAGGTTATGACATTGCCCATATTGAACATAAAAAAAATCATGGAGAAGGGATTGCAAGGGAAGATCTAAACCAATGAATCATAAATTGTAATTAAAACATCACTGCGATGATACAAAAAAGAGGTAATGGGAGCCTAAATTAAGTTTGTGATTTTAAACAGAGGATACTACCCTTCATGTGCTTTGGATAGGAAATAAAAGAGAAAGTAATAATTTATACTATATATATGTAAAGCCTTATATTATATATATTTTTTCAGAATCTTAAAATAATCTAAGAGTTCATTTGATTCATGTTATTCCCCCACTCTTTCTTCTTACAAGCTTTCTGACATTCTTTCTAAACCTTATTTAAATTTCTCCATCTTTTGTGAAGCCTTCTCTGACAAATCCAACATAAATTTGTAACCTACATATGCCATGTGCCAAGTATTATCTCATCATCTTAGATTTTTTTCTTTCTTTGAAATAAGTTCTTACTAATGTTTTCTATTTCTTACATCCCTGTGGTTATATTAAGTAGTCAATGCCCCTCTGAGAGAGTCATCTCACTTGACAAATAATATTTTCATAAAGGAAAATCAGCAAAACTGATTGATACATTAAAAATGTCCCAAAATGTGCAATGTCTAACAGCTTTGTACTTCCCACTACTGCATGCCAATTTGTAGTATGTAAGATGAAATCACAGTTTTATTTTGATTTATATTTCATTTAATCATTTTGGGCATTCTTTCATGTGGTTATGAATATATTGCTATTTTTTCTTTTAAAAACTGTTCTGATTTTATTTTAACCAGCATATGTGTCTCATTCCAATGAGATGATAAGAATAACATAGAATTATGAAACAATAATAAACAAAAAAATAAAATGTGTATGTTCTTTGAAGACTGGGTTCTCATAGTAATGTCTTAAGATCTGCTTTCTTTTGTTTCTTAAACTTAGCAGGCACTTGATGTTTATTAGATCTAATGAATGAGGGAAATTAGATTTAATATATGATTTCAGGGTTAGGGGGCACAATTCTACTACAAGATAATTCCCCCACTGACCAATTGAGGAGTCTCCATTCTAAAAGTCTCATTCCTTTGCTTAATTAATTTTGCTCCTTTGAATTCCCTTTGGGAGAGGTAAAACAATAAGCACTTTTTCAGTAATAACTTTAGTGTGAATCTGTTATCAATTTCTTATATCATGGCAAATATTTAAGAGACTCATACTAAGAAAATGAAAAAAAAGTAGGAAATTCATGATATGAATTGATTTTTTTGTTTCTACCTTTTTTTATCCAGAATACTAAACAGACAAAATTAACCCTAGACCTCTAGGATGACACTAGAAAGTCAGGAAGGAACAGTAGGCTGCTAGGTTCTTGTAAAATAGAAGCATCACCAAGAGAAGTAAATCTCTCTGATTCTTAATTTAAGGGAGAGAGAGAGAGAAAGAGTGTGTGTGTGTGTGTGTGTGTGTGTGTGTGTGTGTGTGTGAGAGAGAGAGAGAGAGAGAGAGAGAGAGAGAGAGATATGAATGAGAGTGAGTAAGAACAATATTTCAGTGACCTTTTTATTGATAACTCCCTTCCCCTTAACTCACCCCTATTTCCTCTCTGTCTTTAATCACATTGTTTTACCTCCAGATTTGTCCTCCTAACTAGAAAGGAGGAAATACTGTCTCTTAGAAAGATAATGGACCAGTACAGTGTTCTTCCCACTTTTCCTCTACTATTATCTGTATGATTTGGATGAAGATATACAATTTTCTGTGCTAGTCTATTTATTGGTGTAATGGAAACTATTTGAAAGGTGATGCCAAGTTCAATAGGGAGAAGATTTGTCAAAATATATTTTGTAAAATGCAAAGTGACAGAATGAAGTGTTATATCATCCTTACTGTTATTATTGCTGTTTTGCCTAATATCTAAACTCTGTGTGTGTGTGTGTATACATATATATATATATGTACACATACATATACAATATTTCTTTTATTTTATTTATCTCTATTCTGACATCTATATACATATATTAGAGATATTACAGACAGTTTTTATATAGAGCTTACTATATATTACTATATAGGTACTAAGTTCATTCTTGGAAAGACATACAAAATATATGAGAGTTTATTTATCTCAAAGCTTGTAAAACATGCATATAAAGATATGCATGAGATCTCATTGTGAGACATGAACCCAAAGATGGACAAAGAGGATTTTTGCAAATTCAGAGCAATTCCCTCTCACCCATCCCTCCCTTCCTGGCTCATGTCAGCCAACATTATATTCTCCAAATGTTTAACCATGATATGAGAAATGAATTTCTTAAGTAAATAAGTTATAAATATAATAAGATAGGAGAATATCAAAGTGTCAGTTGAAATTATAGATGCAGGATATCTGTGTTTTGGTTACCATTAACATGACATAACATAGTGCATGTCCATAAAACACTAAGATAAGAGAAGTCCCATTATTCAAGGTAGTGTGCAGGTGAAGGCATCTTAGTGGTCATAAACAGAAGAATGTTCTTGGTCAGCCTCCTCCCGATCTATGGTTGCTGACCTAGGAAGTGCATTTTGAGTTCACTCAGAGAGCAGAGCAATGCTTGACCACAGTATGCAAAGCATTATGGTAGTTTAAGCCCAGAGTGAGCTGAAATGTCTCTCCTGACTGGCCAAACCTCTGATGTCGGGGTTCAAAATCGTTTTGAGAGGGGTCTACAGCATTGTGCTAAAAGTTGTCCAATATTATTTCATTTGATCCTCACAAGGATCTGTGTGGCAGGTGCTGTCGTTTACCTCATTTTACAGATGAGGGAAACAGAAGTTAAGAGACTTGTCCAGAGTCACACAACAAATAAATGTCTAAGGCCATACATGAAGTAAACTTTTTCTGACTGCAGGGATCAGAAATCTCTTCACTGTGCTACTTAACTCTGAGTATGCATGCATGTGTTTGTGTGTCTGTGTATGTAAGAGATTTCTAGCTCTATAAAACACAAATATATGCTTGTGTATATATATATATATACACACACATATACACATATACATACATAAATATATCTATATATGTATTTCAAGTGCTTTATAAAATTTATTGTTCTCTCTATATGCTGATAACATTACGACAATTATTATTGATAATTTTTGGTGGCATCATTACTTACTCAAAGGTAGATGGAATTCTTGACAGAGATGGGGTTCTTGAAGGAAGCCCGGATTAAATAGACTGAACTCATGGCTGTCAAGTTTTGCTATTTGCTGGATGACCCCAGCCACTTACGTAATAATTTCTTCATTGCCACAATGACATCCTTGTTCCTCAGACTATATATTAGGGGATTAAACAATGGGGTCACAGTGGTATAGAAAAGAGAGAGCACTTTATCTGTTTCTCCTGATTCTTTGGACTTGGGGAGTAAATATGTAATAATAGCAGATCCAAAGAATAAGCCTATGACAATGAGGTGGGAGGAACATGTAGAGAAGGCTTTGGATCTCCCTGTAGCTGATGGAAGCTTCAGGATAGTAGTGATTATTTTAATGTAGGACACAAGTATCAATAGAAGAGGAAACATACCAAACAGCACAGCATTAGCATAGACTGGAAATTCATTAAATAAATTGTCCCCACATGTTAGTTTTACTAAGGGAGGAGCATCACAGAAAACATGATTGAGTTTGTTAGAACCACAGAAGGGAAAAGAGAAAATCTCATATGTAAACCCTGCCTGCAGTGGAATTGCACTGATCCAGGAGCCAATCACCAACAGGACACACATTTTGTAGTTCATGATTAAAGGATAATAAAGAGGTCTACAAATGGCCACATAACGGTCATAAGCCATCACTGCCAAGAGGAAGCACTCAGTACCCCCAAGAATAAGAAAGAAACCAAGTTGGATAGCACAGGTTGAAAGAGAAATGTTTCTCCTTTGCAACCAAAGGTCTGCCAGCATTCTGGGGAGAGTCACTGATGTGTAACAAATTTCCAAAAAGGAAAAATTTCCAAGGAAAAAATACATGGGGGTCTGGAGAGCAGGGTCAGACTTGGTTATTACAATGATGAGTCCATTTCCTGTCAGTATACTCACATAGATGATAACAAAAATCCCAAATAAGAGTGCTTCAAGATTTGGAACCTCAGAAAATCCCAGGAGAATGAATTCTGTTATTCCAGTGAGATTTTCTCCTCCCATTTATTCTGCAGCTTCCAAATGAAAAGATAGTGAAGCAAGTATGTGTATGTCAGTTCCTTACTCTGGGCCTCAATTTGTCCTCTGTAATTAATGAGTTTAGATTAAATGATAGCTTCTTTTCAACTCTTGGTCTTTTTTAAATATCTAAGACCCCATTAATTATACAATTAAAATATTAAATTCTCACTATTCAGCTCAACATTTATAATAAGCATAATAATGATGATAATGAACATAATAGTAAATCACAAAACCAGTAATAATATTCACCTGTGCAAGAGTTCACAGAAAATTAAATTTCTGTATCATAGTGGCATAGTGACCCTTTTTTCATTCTTTTTAAATGGATTCCACCTAGGAAAAGAAGATGGGATTCATACAAGAGTAACAAGAATAATAGAAATTACAACAAATTAAAATATCAGTATAGCAAATTGTCCCTGGAATCTTTATATCTTACATCCATTAAATGAAATGAGAACAAGGACATCATTGCCTGCTTCATCATTATCACCTTGCTCATTATCATTCTTATAATTATAAATATCTTTGTTATCAACTGTAACACTACCAATGTTAAAGTGCCTTCCTTAAACCTATAGAAAATTAACTTGCATCTCCACATTTTTATTCAGTTTAAAAAGTTAGTTTATGCAACTCTGTAAGAGATTGCCAAATATCAAAGGGCATGAGAGTAACTGATCTCAGACCCATTGCTATATATGATTCACCAAAAAAAGTTGGAATAACATAATGAATATTGATCATAGCCTACAGTATGAATGGTCTTCTTCCTAACTTAACAGTTACATTCTTCTGATCAACAATGTAATCAGCCAGGATTTCAGAAGACCAATTAAAAAACATATTGCCTTTTTTATCTGACAGAGACAGAATGAACACACAATGTAAAATAAGATATAAACCTATGTGTGTATTTTGTATACACACATATACACACAGCATACATATATTGTTTATATGTGTATATATGTGTATATACCTACAGGTGTATATTTTCAGATAGTGATAGCAAGAATAATGGAAATAATATATATATATGTTATACAAATTTACACACAGAGACATATATATCATATATGTATGTATGTATGGGTGGATGGATGTAAATATAACATGTGTAATAGACCACGTACTAGAGTCTAAGATTTGAAAGTTCTATCTACTTACACATACACAAAAGTAAGATGGTATATTCTTTGACTACATATTTGTTACAAAGTGCTTCCCCCAATAGAACTCAGGTAAAAGGAAAATACATTTTGGTTTCCTGAAAATAAGTTAATTTATTTAAAAATTCCTATAGTGGAGATATTTTCTTGCTCTCAAATTATATATACCAATATCCCTTATTCATTAAAAAAACTATGTTCTTTTTTAATGTCCTTTAAATATCTAACTTTCAGTTCTCTTCTACTTCAATGTTTCTAGGATTACATAGTTCTGGGACATTTAGATTATATTAACTTCTGTGAAAACAAACCAGGAATTCTAATATGGAAAACAGCTTGTGAGATGTATCCACTCTATGACACTTGTATCTTCAGTACAGGGTATGGGGATCATTGCTAATAAAACAGTAAGACAGAACTCTTAGCTGAAACCCTGATGGATTCAGAGAAGGATTCTAAGGCCAGAGAAGTAAAAATCCACCAAGTTTGACTGGGCTGCAATTCGATGTTCTTTCTATTGAACAATAGTAGTTCTCTTTAATTAGAAAGGAAGTTTCCATGCCAAGATTTTTTATACAAGAGATTTTAAAATATGTGACCAGTTCTTGACACATTGAATGATGTAGTAGATGATGAATAAATGCTTAGTGTTTGATTGCTAGAGTGGGCAGATTTAAAATACAAACAAATAAAAAAGGAGCAAAAACTTTGTTCCTCAAAACATAACTGTCATTCTTTTTTCTGTCATCATATTTTCAATTCTGTTATTCTACTTCCATAATGTTTTCAACACTGATGTCCTCTTGTCTGAATTCTGTCACTCCAGAAAGGCTCCGTTCAACATTCCCTATTCTCTATGAAGCTTTCTTTGACCATATGAAGTCAGGTAAACTTACCTTCTCAGAATTCCTGCAACATTTAACTTCCACCCCAATTTGGTGTTTAGCATGTGATGCCTTACAAAATTCATTATGTTTTTTTCAATATATGCATCCTAGACCAGCGATTAGGTTCTAACCTTTTTGAAAGGGCTATTTTTCTCTATCTTGCATATAATTTGTCATCAATAATCAATAGTTTTTCCAATTATAAAGTGAAATAGATCAAATTTATTTCATAACAACAGAGGTATTAGGAAGACTTTCTGATCCAAAATAACTCTGTCACTGTTTGAGACCTGAAATTCCACTTGGATCATTTTAAATGATTGGTTATTAGATTAATAGGGTCATATAATAGATTTGGAAGAAATCTTTCAGGTTTGTAGTCAAATCTATTCATGTTGTAAATAAAGTAACCTAAGTCCATAGAGGTTAAGACTTACCCAAGATCTCAAAGGTAGCAAGATGAAATAATAAGTTTCAAGACCCGAACTTATGCTACTATATTTGACATTTTCTACCCACTTCACCAAGTAGCTGGCCTATTGCTATGCTTGCAATTTGAGTTAATTAATTTTTGTTATCTTTCCCCATGAAAAAGTTAAGAATGGACCTTTGAGAGAAGCAGACATTCACTGAGTAGGTTATGAGGGACAGCAAAAATAAATAGCTTAAACAAAGCCCATTGAAAAAAAAATGAAGGTGAATTTCCCTTGAGATATGTGTTGGCAAATCAGGGAACATGAAGAGAGCCTAGGAGGCCTTAGAGTAAAGGAGAAATAGATGATCCAAGAAATTAATGAAGAATCAATAAAAATAGTTCACACATTTTAAAATTTCAATTAGGAATAACATTTCGCTTTAGGTATATTATGCCTTACATGTGTTTTCTGCAGTCAGGTAATTCTGCATAGTGATCTAAGATTAAATTGGCCCTTTCTGCATTCCAATCAGTAGCTCATAATCTAAACCCCTCTTCTGCCCCTATACCCTCAACTTCCCTGTGAAATTAGAAAAGAGCATGGGCAGTGTCTTGGGGTGGAAAGATCACTGACCTCAGTGATCAGTCCTGAATTTTAGTCCTTACATTGTCAAAAAAAATATACTGTGTAACGTGAAATATGCCTCATTATGCACTTCTTACTTTGCATCTTTGAAATGTGAGCAATAATATCCATCCTCATATCAAATGAAAATACATGGATGAAAGTTATTTGAAAAGTGAAAAGTATAAAATTATTTTTCATCATAAAATATCACTTGCATTCAAGCCTCATGTTTAGTCCCAGCTCTGGATGCTTGCAATGTTTGCTGCCATTCATGAAATTTGAAATCATATTTTCCAACTATAGAAAAATGAAATGGACCAAATGGTCTACAAGGTCCATTCTCATTCTAACATTCTATATATCAGGCTACTTACACCACAAACAATCTATGTTAAATGATACAATTTCCCTCCAAATTCTAGCATTATTCTTATTGTAAGGCTCATTATTTTAATTGTAAGTTCTAATGAATAAATTATGAATTAAATTTAAGGTTGAAGTTCTTTAAAAACTCATATGATCAGCAACATTTGAAGACACCATAAAAATAAAGCAGCTTCCCAAATACTATACTGTACTGATGATCAACCTCACTCTTTTTTAAATGATTATCATGAAACTGAAATAACATAATTCTAACATGTCATTATTGAAATCTTAACTTTTTACCTCCTAAACAGTACTTTGGAAGATTATCAATGTTAAGTATACTGGCAAGTGCTTTCTTCACATTTCTTTTTCTCTTCTATTTTTCATCATCCTTTGGTTCCCTTTCCTATCTCTTCCTCTTTCTTTTTCTTTCCCTATCACTTTCTTTACCTTTCACTCTTCCTCCCCTATTCCCACTCTTTTTTGGGTGCACATATGGAGTAAAAGTGCATTTTGGAGATAGTTTTCATCAAATTCTGAGATTCTTACTGGAAGCTACAGGACATAGATCACAAAGAATGGAAAGTGGAAACTGATTATATATTTCCAAAGAGTATTACCTGGAAGGAAACACATATCACCCAGCTTTAGATTTTCTAGGACCAATCTAGAAATAGACTGAAAACTAAAGATTTGTGTGGTCACAGTAGTTTGACATCTATGAGTTAGATTGGCAGTACTACTAAAACAAACCTGTGAAAAACACGGGCTCATTATCTACTTTGAGAAAATATTATACAGTAGAAGAAGAAATTTTGCCTTTGTCTCTATGGTAAATACGGAGTTTTCCTTCATTTTTTTTTTAAATGGGATACATTTTCCATCACTCTAAGCAAAGCAAGAATGATTTAAATGCTTTTGCACTAAGATGCTTCTCATTCTTTATGACTTGTTTTTTATCTCTTATTATGATTAGATGTAATTTTAATTAATGTAAACATTAATTTAATGGATATTTGTATTCCTAAAAGTTTTATCATTTTTCCCAAATATATCCATGTCATTTGATCTGAATATGATACAATTTTGAAATGTATACATTCCACTGTAGCAAGAACTTCCTTCCTTCCTTCCTTCCTTCCTTCCTTCCTTCCTTCCTTTCTTCCTTCCTTTCTTTCTTTCTTTCTTTCTTCCTTCCTTCCTTTCTTTCTTTCTTTCTTTCTTTCTTTCTTTCTT